GATTTCACATATGAGTGAGATCATGTGATACTTGCCTTTCTTTGACTGGCTTATTTCGCTTAGCATAATACTTTCCAGGTCCTTCCATACTGTCTCAAAGGTTAAGAGGTCCTTCTTTTTTACTACTGCATAGTTTTTCATGGTGCAAATGTACCACAGTTTTTTTATCCACTCATCTACTGGTGGACACTTGGGCTGTTTCCAGATCTTACTATTGGAAATTGTTCTGCTATGAACATAGGGGTGCATACATTCTTTCTGATTGGTATTTTGGATTTCTTAGCATGTATTTCTAGAGGTGGAATCACTGGGTCCAATGGCATTTCCATATTTATTGATTTTTTTTTTTTTTTTTTTTAGGAAACTCCATCATTGTTTTCATAATAACTGCTCCAGTATACATTCCCACCAGCAATGTACTAAGGTTCCCTTTTCTCCACATCTTTACCAGTATTTTTTATTTATTGATTTGTTGATGCTAGCCATTCTGACTGGTGTAAAGTGATACCTCATTGTTGTTTTAATTTGCATCTCTCTGATGATCAGAGACTTTGAGCATTTTTTTCATATATCCCTAAGCCATCTGTATGTCCACTTTGGAGAAGTGTCTATTTAGGTCCTTTGCCCATTTTTTAATTGTATTGTTTATCTTCCTTTTGTTAAGTTTTATGAGTTCCTTATACATTTTGGATATTAACCCTTTATCAGATATATCATTGCTAAATATGTTCTCCCATACAGTGGCCTCCCTTTTTGTTTTGTGATGGTTTCTTTTGTTTTGCAGAAGCTTTTATATATAGTCCCATTTGTTTATTTTTGCCCTAGTTTCCTTCGCCCTAGTAGATGCATCAGTAAACATATTGCTATGAGAGATGACTGAGATTTTGCTGCCTATGGTTTTTTCTAGAATTTTTATTTAAGTCTTTTATCGTTTTGGGTTTATCTTGTGTATGGTGCAAGTTGGTGGTCTAGTTTCATTTTTTTTTTTTGCATGTATCTGTCCAATTTTTTCAATATCATTTATTGAAGGGAATGTCTTATCTCCATTGTATGTTCTTGCCTCACTCCATTATCTTTTTTAAAAATGTATTTTTATTTATTTCAGAGAGGAAGAAAAAAGGAGAGAGAGAGAGAGAGAGAGAAATACTAATGACAAGAGAGAATCATTGATCAGCTGCCTCCTGTACACTCCATACTGGGAATGGAGCCTACAACCCGAGCATGTGCCCTGACCAGGAATTGAACCATGACCTCCTGGTTCATAGATCAATGCTCAATCACTGAGCCATGAAAGCTGAGCCACTCCATTATCCTTTTTTCCCCCCACTCCATTATCTTTTGATATTTATTAATGCTGAGAAGTCTGCTGTCAATCTAGTTGTAATTAATTCATAATTAATATATCTTTTTCACTTCATGCATTTTAAGATTTTTCTCATTATCCTTATTGTTTTGAATTGTCACAGTGATATTTTTAGGTGTATATTTAGTTTTATTTATAATGCCCAGTATCTGAGAACTCACATCTCTCTTCAATTCTGGAAAATCTCTTCAAATAATGCTTTATCATTTTTTCCCATTAATTCTTCTAAAACACCCCCTTTGGAATATACATTGGAGTCTTTCATTCTTTCTTCCATGTATCTTAATTGTTCTGATTTTTAAAAATATATTTTCCCCCAACTTGCTGCATTCTGAGTGAATTCCTGAGCTATCTTTAAATTTGTAAATGTGCAAATTTGTCCCTTATGGCATTTATAACATCAACTAATCTCTAATATATTTAAAAAGTTCTTTTTCATATCCATGTTTTTAAATCTCTGCTTTTTATTTAATATTTATTGCTCTTTTCAAATTATTTATATTTTATTGATTTTTTACAGAGAGGAAGAGAGAGGGATAGAGAGTTAGAAACACCGATGAGAGAGAATCATGGATCAGCTGCCTCCTGCACACCCCCTACTGGGGATGTGCCCGCAACCCAGGTACATGCCTTTGACCGTAATCGAACCCGGGACCTTTCAGTCCGCAGGCCGACGCTCTATCTACTGAGCCAAACCGGTTTCGGCTGCTCTTTTCAAATTAAGTTATTCCTTAATTTTTCTTTTTGTTGATTTTATTGTTGCCTGTTTTGTTTTTCAAAGTAGGTTAAGTAATTCCTTGATTTCTGGTTTTGACAACCATGTGAAGTTGTATAATATATAATATTAAAAATAAGAATGAGTGGTTAAGATACATAACATTCACCAATATATGGAACACATTAGGAGGAGAAAATATTGAGACTGAGGATTATAAATACAGTTGTAGGTATGTTGAATTTGTGGGCCTTAGGAAATTCAAGTGAACATATTTAAAAAGTAGTTAGACATGTAATTTCAGTTTTCCTGGTGACACACCTGGTATAAATTTAGAATATGCAAGCACACAGGTGAGAGTTGAAGGTATGGAAGTTGATAGGATAATCTGGGTTTATCAAAAAGAAGGGCATGGATTGGCACACAGCAGGTGCTCAGTGAACGCTTGCTGAGTAACTGAATTGGTCCTGAATAATCGACTCGCTGCCCACAACACCCCTGCCCTGCATTAACTGAGCCAAAGGCAGAGGGACTAACGAGAATGAAATTAAATCCTCGGTGTTTTTGAGGCTGTTTGAGGCCCCGCCCTGTGGGCAGGTAAGCACAAAACACAGATGAGCCATGACAGAGAGGAGATGGAGGCGGGACAGGGGAGGTAAGAGAGACGGCTGGTGCCCGAGACCTGAGAAGACCAACAAGGCGTGGACCCGGGAGGCAGGAGGAGGCAGAGGTTTCTGGTGTGGCCACCAAACCCTGTGCTGGTGCTGGATGTTAAGAGCAGGGTGTGCCCTGGCCAGAGTGGCTCAATGGATAGAGCATTGGCCTTAGGACTGGGATGTCCCAGGTTCCATTCCAGTCAAGGGCATGTACCTTGGTTTTGGGCACATCCCCAGTAAGGGGTGTGCAGGAGGCAGCTGATGGATATTTCTCTCTCATTGATTTTTCTAATTCTATCCTTCCTTCCTGTCTGTAAAAAATCAATAAAATATATTAAAATAAAATAAAAATAAAAAAGAGGGCATGGAAAGGCCAACAGTAGAACCATTGGAAAGGCAAACTTAAATGATTCACAGAGAAAAATGAGCTCATGAGAGACAGAAAAGTGGTCAGAAAGGTGGGAGAAAATGTAATTAGCACAATGTCACAGAAACAAAAAGAAAGAAGTTTAAAGAAGGAAGATGTGGGTAGTCAAATGGATTATCAGAATGATCCATTAGATATAGCAAAACTTTCACTTTCACAAATAGTTTCAGGAAAGTGGTAGGTCAAAAAGTAATTAGGGGACAGACTTTTTGACAAAGTAGAATAATAAGTTCATGTTTGATGCAATCCCTTTGTTCCTAATACATAGCAGAGGTAGAGTGTTTTAAAGTAGAAATAATAATATGGGCAAAATTAATAACAAAATGTTTAAATAAACAAAAACAAAATTCAGGAGGACGCGCATATCGGCCTCTAGGTCTAGAAGCAGCTAAGAGTTTCACTTCTACAGACTAAAAGTTCTCGATCCAAGATGAAAGAAGAAACCAGCTCATTACTTAAAGCCAGGAGGCTGTGATGGGATTTTTCCATTTGTGAAAGAAATATGGAAAAATCCTGTCCATCAAACTTCTGGCTTTGTTGAATAGAAATTCTGGGCTTAGTGAGGTGGGAAGACTCAGACATAACATGATGATTATAAATTTACATAAGCTATTCTGGGCTCCATGATAGTATTCAATATGATAGCAGGATAGCAGCCCCACTCATCATTATAAAACCTGGCTTAGAACTGGGGGGAAATGTAGAAAATGAAATGGAGCCCAGAGTTAGAGAAAGAAAGAAAAACATTTATGCTAGATTGCCTATACAGGGCCACTTCTCGTTAATTAAATCAGAAGTTTAGACTCACAGAAGTGAAATGAAAATGTTTTTAAAGATTAATATATTTTTGTTTAAGTTAAATAATAATAAGTTAATCAGTTATTCATTATAATTCTAAAACGTAACTTTTTTTTATGGTGGGTCATTGAATTGGAAATTTTCCAGTCTTAGTTTTAATAGATATTTGCTGGATAATTTAGGACTATACCTGAGAGGCTTTTCTGGTGCTGATCACCCAATTCTTTTTTATTGCCTTTGTGAGTCAGCTGAAGGCAATGCTTAACAGCAGGAAAATGTCAAATAACTTTGGGGACACTGTCTCTCCTCCCCCAACACATGAGTAATTTCAGAGATGTACTAGGGCCTTTTATGTGTTGTTATCCAAATTTCATTCAGATTTGTTGTTTTAACTGAGGGCCAAAATCAAAGAGGGAGAAGAGGGAGAAACTGGTATTCCTTGAAATCTGCCAAGAACTTTATTTTTTTCTTCTTAATTTACTCCTTACAAAAAGTGTACATATCAGCTCAACAGATGTGGCTCAGTCTCTGAGATCGAACCAGGAGGTCATGGTTCGATTCCCAATCAGGACACATGTATGGGTTTCAGGCTTGATCCCCAGTATGGGGGTTTTAAGAGGTAGCCAATCAATGATTCTCTCTCATAATTAATGTTTCTATCTCTCTCTCCCTTTCTCTCTGAAATCAATAAAAACATTATCTTTTAAAAAGTGTATAGATCTGTACCCCATGTTATAAATGAAAGATCTAAAGACCAGTAAGGTTAAGTGACTTACTAAATGTATGCCATTCTGACTCTAATATCCCTTGAGCCCCCTAGATCATTATGTGATGAATAAATGGACCTGCTGCATTTTTCCAATGAAAAACACATATGAATATTCAAGCACAAGGCAGTTATCTGTTGCTGAATGACATTTTATTAGCTTAATAATTTGGGCCTGCCCTTAGTATTAATAAGCTTCAGCACTAGTCGCGAGAGTTTTAGTCACTGGTGGGGAAACGTTCCCGTTTTAAAAAATCCAATTAGAGAAAGGGCATCTACTTCTTGGAGGCTGCAGTGACAGCAGGCCTATCCTCACGAGTGATGGGAATGGTGCGCTCAGGGCCAGAGGCCTGTTTCCTTGGTCCATTCACACTGAGGACCCCATCAGATGACAGGGATGAAGTGATGGCAAGAGGGTCCACGTCTGCTGGGATCCGGTATTTCCTGTGGAACTCCCGGGAAATGAAACCGTGTTCATCCTAATCCAAGAGAATGAGGAAAGAGGCAGAGAGATGAGAACAGGAAAAAGCAGCACCTGCTTAGAACTCAGACATTCCCCTTCCCCTTTTAGGTGGGACCAATGCCATGGCAACATGAGAGAAAGTTTTTCTATTTGGGGCTAAGATGAAGTTGTCTAAGTGGTCACTCCTTCGACAAGAATCTGAGAAGTCTGAAACAGGTAAAGCCTCACAGCTTTCAAACCCTAAGGCATGGATATGCTTAGAGATATTTCCCAAAGGTTCAGGTCAATGTTTGTCGGGCCTACACGTTTTGGGATATCATCCGGCATGGAAGATCTAAGTGCCAGAGGAAGCTCAGATATTGTTCTGACTCTTCAGGAATGTCCCAGAATGTACTAGACCAAGAGGACTGCTTCTATTAAAATAAGACTGTGACCCAAATTTAGATTATATACACAAAATGGAAACAGCGTGAGGACTTCAAACTAACACTGTTAATTGTATAAGGCTCTGAGTTATCGCTAATTGGTTAAAAAAACAAACAAACCAAAAAAAAAAACAACTTATTAAAATGCCCTCCTGGAAAGTAATGAGAAGCTAGCTATTCCATTCTTCAGAATTCTACTAAACCTCCTGAATCTCAGGTATTTATACAGACAGGCTCTCAATGGATTTCTATCTGTGCACCAGGGTATTAGGAGATGAGGACAGGCTCTGAAACTGAGGCAAACCAAGTAGTTCAATGTTAAGGTGGGCTAAAGAGAAGAGGATTCCTGAACATCAAAAAGTCCCAAACTCAAGTGCCTTCAGAGTGCATACAGTTACTGTAATTAGGTGACCGACAAGCACTATGCCTGAATCAGTGCTACTCAACCTAGACCGTACATTACAATGACCAAGGGAGCTTTTTAAAATGCTGATGCCTGTGTCCCATCCTAAAAATTCTGATTTAATTAGTCTGAGATGCGCCTTAGCACTGGAGTATTTTTAAATTCCCCTTGTGATTCTAATGTGATCACGGTTGAGAACCATTGGCTTAAAGGGGGAGTGAACATCCCATCTATCCCATCTAAGGCAATGAAATAAAATCAAAGCAAACAACAAAGATCCCTTCTCCGGCCAAAACAATAACAACACCAGGTCTAGCACTGTTTCCAGACCCTGATGGATTAGGACTGGAATGTTGCCAGCCTCAGAGCTGGTGGCAGTGTCTGCCACATAGTGTGTACGAATGAATGAACAGAGAGAAAATGAGCTACACACCTGGCGCTCTTCGTGTTTGCCGTGCACCTCAATCACATCTCCCAGCACCTTGACCTTGAGTTCTTCTGGGGAGAAGTGCTTCACATCCAGGTTGACGGAGAATCTGTCTTTCTCCAGACGCATCTAGAAACAGCAAGGTGGGAGAAAGGGGTCAGAGAAAAAAATGGTCAGAATGTGGGTTATTAGTAGAGTCTCATTCTGCTTTTTTCCCAGGTACTTTATCCTCCTCTTTTTGGCTAAACATCCTTTTTTGAATAAACATGGCTCTGTGGTTCAGGGGAGCCAACATAGTGGTACCCAAGGCACACCACTTGGTCATTAGATCCAAACTTTATTTACAGGAACAGGGAAGAAGACAGGCCACCCAGGAGACCAGTCACAGGGAAGGGTCTGGGCATGGCTTCTGCTGCCTCTCTGGCCCCAATGCCTGGCTTTGTCATTTGTCTGTGAGACAAAGGCCCCTTCTTCTTGCTCAGGTCTCTGCCAACTTTCCCACCCACTCAATCTGGAATGTTCTGCTGGTCCTGATTGTCCTTCCAAAGCCCTTGCTCACGCAGCTCCTGTTTACTCACACTTGGATATTTTTAAAACAGTTATCAGCGACAGCTTCTGTCAACCTTATGTGCTCACCCGTTTTCCCACCCTCTTAGGACAAGTAGGGGTCCCAAGACTGGGCCGACATTCTTTTCTCTCTAGGTTTGGACCCAGGCTAGTGCCTGACACTGCCCTGAGAAACTGGGGCAATCTTAGAAATCGTGGTGCTGTCTCCAGCTCCACGCTGTGGGGGTGAAAAGGGCTGGGGTAGCGCTGCCTCCTGGCTCTGAAACATGAAATGATACAAGTTTTCAGGATGAGAATTAGAAGTGGCAAGCAAAGGAGTCTGCAGGCAGCTCTTTCTTGTAGATCTTTATGAACCAAGCCAGAAAGGGGCATGCAACTTAAAAATTAGGGAATAAAAGATCATCTTCATAGCACATGGAAAAGATGTGGTAAGTGGGATACAGAGGAGCATCAAAGACAAGCAGGTGCCTGGGGGAGAAACTAGCACCTTCATCTTTCTTCACTGCAGGCTTCACACTTAGTCACAGCGTCCCCTCTGACCAGATTCAGACAGAGGGAAAGCAGAGCAGATGGAAATGTTTCCAGAAGGTTCAGGAAACTCTCCTGCCTGTGGGGGGGAGACCTACCTCTGAGAGCCCGGTGTCAATCCAGCTGGGGGCCCGCAGGAATGAGGGTGGCCGGAGGTAGAAGGGGCTCAGGGAGGTGGAGGTGGGGAAGAGGTCAGACTCCAGCAAGTGCTCCCCGAAGAACTGGTCGAAGAGGCGACTGGGCGAGTGGAAAGGGAAGAAGGGGCGGCGGATCCAGGGGTGGTGGATGGCGATGTCCATGGCGGCGGGTGGGTGTCGGGGTCAGCTGGCTGCTCAGCTCCTTCAGCTGCGGCTGCAGCCAGCCCCTTATATACTCAGTTCTGTGAAGCTTCTGGAATGATGATGTCAGGGGTTTTATTATCCCAGCTCACCGCCCGTTCACGCAGACTTGTGATCAGGGATTTGGCAGTGTGACACATACCCAGTACTCACTGAGCTAAGAAAAGAGAAATATAAACACGCCTGGCCCGTCCAGTGACTTGTCCTGGGCTTGTTTCCCTAGTTTTCTGTCCACACCCAGTGGCACCCTCCCCTCTCCCCTTGGGACTCTGCCAGGAATTCCAAGCAGGCAGGGGCGGCCCCTCCTCTCCAGCCAGCCGGCCAGGGGACTGGGGCCAGCGACTATCTTGGGCCTGGGCAGGAGCTGGAATCTTCCCTGGCTGGGCCCCAGGGACGTTAACTCCTTGTAGCCCCTGGCCTGGAGCAGTGATGGCATGCCAGCGAGAGGCAGCTGTGTGCTTCTCAAGGTTGACCTGGGCTCTGGCGGGGACCCCCGACATGAATCTGGGCACAAAGACCCCTCACCACAAACCACAGAAGGGGAGGGGGTTTCCTGCACCTTCCCCCTGTGAAGGGCCGCAGGTCATTAAATAAAGAGCTTTATGAGCAGGTGCAGGGCGCAGGGCTCCTGCGATAGACCCGGGGAGAAGGGCGGTGTGGGCACGGCTGGGAGGTCCCCCCGGGCTCTCCAGGACCCCTGTCAGCGAGCCCGCGCCCCTCACTCCCAGCCAGGACCCCCACCCTCCGGCGCCCGGACAGCTGCAGGGCGGCGGGCCGGGGTCGGGGGCCGCGGGGCGGCGGGCTGGCTCGGGCCGCGCCCTCCGGCGGCCGCACTATTTTGGGTGCAGACCCGCCCCCCGCGGCCTCGGCAGCCGGAGGGTCGCGCCGCACCCCGGTCCAGGCGCCTGTCCGTCCGCAGCCATGGAGGGCCGCTCGGTGCCCCACGCCCACCCGGCCACCGCCGAGTACGAGTTCGCCAACCCGAGCCGCCTGGGCGAGCAGCGCTTCGGAGAAGGTATGGCCCCGGCCCCCGCCGCCCGCGTTCTGGCCGGCCTCCCGGGGCGCTGGCCTGCCCCCCACGGGGCTTAGCTGAACCCCTGCCGGCTCCCACCGCCTCCGGGCTGCTCTCTCCTCCCGGCTCCTGACCTCAGCCCAGGCCCTGGCACCTGCCCGTCCTCCCAGAGCGCCTTCCTGTCCCTGTCCACCCGGGTCTGCTTGGGTTGGGCTCCTCCATCCTCATCTCATTTCCTTTCTCAATTTCTCTCCCCACCTGCCTCCTTCCAGCCCTGGACCCCCTCCCTACCCTCCCCTGCTTCCCCCGACCCCCCACCGGCTCCCCCTGGTTCTAGGTCTTCATCACCCCTACTCCCCTCACTCCCCCTCATCCCGCCTCTTCCTCCTCTCTGCCTCCTCCCTGCCCTCCCCTGCTTCTCCTGACCCCCACCGGCTCTCCCAGTCCTCTGGTCTCCATCACCCCTGTTCCCCCTCACATTCCTCATCCTGCCTCCTTCCAACCCTGAGCCCCCTCTTTCCCCTGCCCTGCTTCCCCCGACCCCCCACCGGCTCTCCCTGGTTCTAGGTCTCCATCACCCCTGTCCCCTTCACTCCCCCTCACCCGCCTCTTCCTCCTCTCTGCCCCCAGGCCTCCTGCCGGAAGAGATCCTGACCCCCACCCTCTACCACGGCTACTACGTGCGGCCCCGGGCCACGGGAGCCGGGGAGGGCGGCAGGGCGGGGGCGTCCGAGCTCAGGCTTAGCGAGGGCAAGTTCCAGGTGTTCCTGGACGTGAGCCACTTCACCCCCGACGAGGTGACCGTGAGGACTGTGGACAACCTGCTGGAGGTGTCCGCCCGGCACCCGCAGCGCCTGGACCGCCACGGCTTCGTGTCCCGGGAGTTCTGCCGCACCTACGTCCTGCCCGCCGACGTGGACCCCTGGCGGGTCCGCGCCGCCCTCTCCCACGACGGCATCCTCAGCCTGGAGGCGCCCCGGGGGGGCCGGCATTTGGACACAGAGGTCAATGAGGTCTACATCTCCCTCCTCCCGCCGCCTCCGGATCCGGAGGAAGAGGAGGAGGCAGCCCGGGCGGAGCCCTGAGCGCCTCGGACCCAGCACCCAGGCTGTCTACCCCCCGGGGTGATACGGCAGCTGCCACCACCCCAGAGAGAGCAGCGTCCTGGGGAGAAGGGAAAAGTGCATGGGCCACCGTGTGTGGTTTGGTCCCGTGGGACGTGTCCTAGCCTTTGGTTTAGTTCTAGGTAGAGGTGAATAAACCCAAATCTCAGAGCCTTGTTTGTGCTGCTTCCTATTCTCTGGCCTGGAGGTGCGGGGGGGGGGGGGGGGGGGGGGGATATGGTGAGAGGGTAAAGGGGGAAGGAGAACATAGCTAGAAAAAACGCTCCTCCGTTAGATGCGCTCATCATTACAGAACCCCCAGCTCGGAGGCTGAGATCACACCAAAGCTGACACTGGCTCCAGATCAAATTCCGGACCATAATTTTCTCACAGCGCAACAAAAGAGAGTGATCCTGGAAGGGAAAAGGGATATGCCATCCAAACAGCCACCGGGCACTGTCTGAGCTGGTGATTAGAGACACAAAACAAGGGTCTCCAGACTGTCTGGCCTGTTTAGGGTAGGGATTGGGAAAGCAGGTTTTGGCTGGAGAGAGTTGCCTAATGCCCTGTTTTCCCATACTAAGGTCTGTCCACTGATAATGGTCTCTGATTCTGAGGAAGCAAGTATGTATATGCAGGGGCACAGACACGGAAACCTCTGCTATTATAACCGAACCCGGTAATCTCCGTCTGTAAATGGGGAGGCCCGTGAGAGGAAGCATTTGCCTCATCTCTTGGAACATCCCAGAGCCATGGTTGGCAAACTGCGGCTCGAGAGCCACATGCGGTTCTTTGGCCCCTTGAGTGTGGCTCTTCCACAAAATACCACGGCCTGGGCAAGTTTATTTTGAAGAAGTGGCGTTAGAAGAAGTTTGAGTTTAAAAAATTTTGCTCTCAAAAGAAATTTCAATCGTTGTCCTGTTGATATTTGGCTCTGTTGACTAATGAGTTTGCGACCAATGTCCCAGAGGAATCACTGCAACACCCAACAGAATTCAAGACTAAATGCAAGGGGTCTAGGGCTACTGGTGTGAGCTGATGGCGAGGGAGATGTCCTCTGGTAGTAGAGAGTTATTATTAGAAATACTAGAGGCCTGGTGCATGAAATTCATGCACCGGTAGGGTTCCTAGGCCTGCCCAGCGATCAGGGACAATCAGGGGCCTTCCTCTGTTCCGCACCACCCCCTGGTGGTCAACACACATCATAGTGAGCGGTCAACCTCCTGAAGGGACAATTTGCATATTGGCCTTTTATTATATAGGATGGTGTGTGCATATGATTTGTTGAGAAGATCTTCCTGCTCCAAATACATCTTTTATGAGGCTGTGATAGACATCTGAAATTCTTCCATTAAAGTGGTTGATTCTTAACTTTGTTGGATTATAGACCCACTTGAAAATATGGCAAAAGCAAGCTACAGATGCTCTTACCAGAAAAAATACATATGCCCCCAAATTTGGCATAAAATTTGAATAGAGCTCTTGGAGTTCATTCATATGCCCCTTTTAGAAAACTGGATCCCAGAATAAGAACCCTCACTTGAAGAATCCATTTTTTGGTTAAAGAATTGCCATCAATTTAAAATGAAAGCATACGTCGAAACTGGTTTGGCTTAGTGAATAGAGCGTCGGTCTGTGGACTGGAAGATCCCAGGTTCAATTCCGGTCAAGGGCATGTACATTGGTTGCGGACACATCCCCAGTAGGGAGTGTGCAGGAGGCAGCTGGTCGATGCTTCTCTCTCATCGATGTTTCTAGCTATCTATCCTTCTCCCTTCTCCCTTCCTCTCTGTAAAAAATCAATAAAATACATTTTAAAAAAATAAAATGAAAGCATACTTCAGACATAACTACTGACATATTCATTTGTTCATCCATTCATCAAATATTTATCAACCCCCAAGTGATTTACTATGGGAAATACACATGGTAATTATAAATTATAAAAAACATGGTCTTTTATTGTCTACTTGGGAATCTTAGTCCCTAATTGAGAAAAGAAGTTTAAAAGATCTTACTCAGATTTTAACCAAAGCAGCTTCACATTGAACTGTTTTATAACTGGGATTTTTATATGAGCTTTATTTACTTATTTGCTTATTATTTTTTTGTTAATCCTCACCTGAGGATATTTTCCCATTGGTTCTTAGGGAGAATGGGAGAGAGAGGGAAAGTCAGAGAGAAATATCGATGTGAGAAACATTGATTGGTTGCCTCCTGCTTGGGCCCCAACCAGGGCATGGGCTGGGAAAGAGCCTGCAACCAAGGTTCATTCCCTTGATCAGAATTGAACCCAGGACCTTTTGGTCCACAACCTGATGCTCTATTCACTGAGCAAAACTGGCTAGGGCTATATGAGCTCTATTTATTTATTTATTTATTTATTTATTTATTCATTCTTTATTGTTTAAAGTATTACATATGTCTCCTTTCCCCCCCATTGACCTCTCCCTGGCCATTCCACCCCCCAGCACATGCCCTCACCCCCCTATTGTTTGTGTCTGTTGGTTGTGCTTATATGCATGCATACAAGTCCTTTGGTTGATTTCTTATACCCCCGCCCCCCTCTCCTGCCTTCCCTCTGAAGTTTGACAGTCTGTTCATTGCTTCTGTGCCGCTGGATCTATTTTTTTTTATGTTGTTCATTATATTCCACAAATAAGTGAGATGTGATATTTATCTTTCTCTGACTGGCTTATTTTACTTAGCACAGTGCTCTCCAAATCCATCCATGCTGATGTGAATGGTAAGAGTTCTTTCTTTTTTACAGCAGCATAGTATTCCATTGTGTAGACGTACCACAGTTTTTTAGTTCACTTATCTGTTAATGAGCACTTAGGCTGTTTCCAAATCTTAGCTATTGTAAATTGTGCTGCTATGAACATAGGGTTCATATATCCTTTCTGATTGGTGTTTCTGATTTCTTGGGATATATTCCTAGAAGTGGGGTTACTGGGTCAAATAGGAGTTCCATTTTTAATATTTTGAGGAAACCCCATACTGTTTTCCACATTGGCTGCACCTGTCTATATTCCCACCAGCGGTGAACTAAGTAAGGTTCCTTTTCTCCACATTCTTGCCAGTACTTATCAATTGTGAGTTTGTTGATGATAGCCATTCTGACAGGTGTGAGATGGTACTTCACTGTTATTTTGATTTGCATATCTTGGATAATTAGTCTCATTTGTTTATTTTCTTCTTAGTTTCCATTGTCCTAGGAGCCATATTGGTAAAGATATTGCTATGATATATATGTCTGATATTTTGTTGCCTATGGATTCTTCTAAGATTTTTATGGTTTCACACTTTATGTTGAAGTCCTTTATCCCCTTTGAGTTTATTTTTGTGTATGGTGTAAGTTGGTGGTCTAGTTTCATTTTTTTGCATGTATTTGTCCAATTTTCCCAACACCATTTATTGATGAGACTGTCTTGACTCCATTGTATGCTCTTGCCTCTTTTGTCAAATATTAATTGAGCACAATGGCTTCGGTTGATTTCTGGGTTCTCTGATCTGTTCCATTGGTCTATATGTCTATTATTATGCCAGTACCAGGCAGTTTTGAGGACAGTGGTTTTGTAATATAGCATGATATTGAGACAATTCTCTCTTAAACACACTGCCTTTTGACAACATAACTTGAAAATCAACATATAGTACTAAAATTATTCCAGCCCTGGCCGGGTAGCTCAGTTGTTGGTTGGAATGTCATCCTCATGTGCCAAGGTTGCATGTTTGATTGATTCCTGGTCAAGGCACATGCAGAAGTCAACCAGTGAATGCCTAGGTGGGTGGAACAACAAGTCAATGTTTCTCTCTCTAAAAAGAAAATAAATAAAGTAATAAATAGATAAATAGGTAAATAAATAACTTAATCCAGTCATGTACTAACTGGTACAGACTTCAATGGAATAATCAATGCCTTTGTTTATTACTCTGGACTGCTATTAATGCTGCTTTAGGTGGATCTGGCTATCACAGCACACTGTTGGTTCTTTGGAGTTTCAAGCCATATAGAATCTCTTAAGTGTTTTTCCTTTAAATTAGAGAAATTGGCCAGAAAGGGACAAAATTTGGAAGGTTTTGAGCGCCAGGCTAAGATGTTTGAGTAACAGGATGAAAAGAATACAGGTAATGGTAGAGTACAGAATGAATTGCCAGGGAGAGGCGTGGTGATGAAATAAGAGGCTGTGCAGTGATCCAGCACAAGATAATAAAGTAAGATGCTTTACACTCTGACGATTAGATGAACACAAGAAATGACAACATTAGCTTGGGCTGACTGAGAGCGCCTATGTGCCAGGCCCTGGACTAGAGCTTTATATACATTCATTTCATCTTTGCCACAATCCTATAAGGCTCTCACTCTTATTGCTGCATTTTTCATAAGGAAAGAAGACGGGGAGGAGGGAAGAGTCCAGAGCACCCTCTGTGGAGCTCTGGGTGGTTGGTGGGTCCTGGATATCCATAAGGAGCAAATACGTGGGCATCTGAACAAGGCAGGTGGGGTGGGAGCACTGGAGACAGACTTTATGGGTTTCAAAAATCCTCCTAGAGTCCATATTCTCTACAGAGGAATTTGCTTGACTGCATCCTAGTTGCTGGTGAGTGTGGAATGATTGTCACTTTAGGTCATTGGAAGAAGCTGAGTGGAGCTGTGAGGGGGATTCTAGAGTTCTGTATTGGGAATGAGGAAGTGAGCAGTTAAGGAGTGCTGAGGCCATTGCAGTCATATGATTCTTTACCAGAAAAAGGATTAGGCAATAGGTTCGGTCCTCCATTATTACAGTCCTAAGAAAAAAGTGATTTGCCCACATTAATTCCATTAGCAAGGGAGAAAGAATAAAAAGAAATCCACTTACCTAACGTTTCCTAGAAACTACAGTTTTCAAACCCAGATTCTGGACAGGGATAATAAGTAACGGATACTGATAACCTTGAAAGTGAAACTCAGTTAGAGCTGAATAGTGCCGGGAAACATAAGGGAAGGCTCTTTACTCCATTCTAGAGGATATATTTCAATAACAGTGTGATATCATGGAGAAACATTTCCTAGGGAAGCCCAAAGCCCTTTCCCATCTCAGGTTTCTTTTCATTGGAGCTCAAAGTTCATGGTTTCATCAAAGCAGCTCCAAATCCCCAAGGTGAGGTAGTTCTCACCTGGAGCCTGTGTGTATTCCTCTACCCTTTGGCTGGGAGCAGTCACTTGGGAATCTTTCCAGCAGGTGGCTTCCAAAGTCCAACCTGCTAGGTTGAAACCTGACACTGACAGAGACTCCCTGGGAGCTGCTACTGAAAACTAAACCAGGAACCAGGAAATGCACAAGCACTTTATATAGATAAACAAGCCAGGCTCCCTCGGAGACAGAGCACCATGGGAAACCGGCTCTGCTGCGGGGGAGGCAGGTGAGTAGGGGGCAAGGGGAGAGGGTAACATCTGTGTGGGTTGATATGGAGGACCCGAGAATGAGATCGAACTTCAGATAGTTCTCTGCCAACTTCCCACTGCCACTTTCCTCTGTCTGGCACCTCCCTGTGCCTCCACCAGAACCGCACCGCCTTCTGTGCTCACTCCTTTCAGGCAACTTCAGAAAACACAGCCACGCCAGCTGTCAGCTGAATGTCCAAAGCGGGGCTGGAACTGAATTGGCTTTGTTTCTCTTTGTCCTCCTTGCCCCCTCTTCTCTCTTCTGTCCCTTCCCTCTCTCCCCAGATGATGATGATAACTGTAGCACTTGTAGTTTACCCCTTTACAATCTCATTTACTTTTCCCAACAATTCTATGCCAGAACGAGAGGTGGCTTCCATCTCCTCCTGTTTTTACAGCTGAGAAGTTGAGGCCCAGAGCAGCTGTCTGAGGCCACATGACTAGTAAGCAAGTAAACCAAGATTCCAAACTAGATCTGTCTGACTTCAGAACCCATGCCTTAAACCATGGCATAATACTGCCTTCCAAGTCAAGCAACTCAACATTGGAAAAATGTTTATTTAAAAGGACAGAAGAAGGGAGGAGACCCGTGGAATATTTGAATATAATTTTCACACTTATTTGCTGTGTGACCTTAGGCAAATCCTGTTACTTCTCTTTTTTTTCATATATGAAATACAGATAACATGGTCTATGTCATTCAGATGACAAGTTTGAAGAGCAGAGGACATGTGAAAGCTTCATTGTAAATTAATTGTAATGTCCTTATTGTTCTTTCCCAGAGTTTTCATCACTAGAGACCCCGGACCTGGTTTTATATAACCAATGCCTTCTTAGTTATACCTTTCCAAGCCTGGGGCAGTGTTGAGGATACCTTGTTTATGAACACAGCATCATTATATTTAAAGAGATAATTGAGGTACATTGAAAAGGGCATATGATTTGGAGTCAGTACCTTGAATTCAAGTTCTGTTCCTACTACTCATCCATTCATTTCTTTTTTCTTTTCCTAAAATATATTTTCATTGATTTCAGAGAGGGATAGAAACATCAATGATGAGAGAGAATCATTGATTGGCTGCCTCCTGCATGCCCCCTAATGGGGACCTAGCCCGAAATCCAAGCAAGTACCCTTGATCAGAATCGAACCCGGGATCCTTCAGTCCACAGACCAATGCTGTATCCACTGAGCCAAACCAGCAAGGGCTCCATTCATTTCTTAAACAAACATCTTATTCAATACCTATATGGTACCAGGCATAGTGATAGATGCAGAAGACATAGTAAAAATAGGAAACCTGGTCTCTGCCTTTTTGAGTAACAAAGTTTTTAGGGCTTTAATGGACCCATCTGGAAAATGGGAACAATAATACATGCTTCCTGATATGCTGTCAGAATTTTTTTTAAAAAGCGTTTGTTTTTTTATACTCTGAAATGTCCTACAGACATAAGATATTTTGAAACATATATAGTAAAAGCTCCTAAAGAAGGGGGTGTAACAGCTTCTTTCACTTCCTTCCCAAGTCTTCATGTTCTTCCTTTTTTGGTTATTTTTTCCTCTAATGGTGGTAGTCATAGTAGACAGCTTTATGATGCTCATTATATGCCAGGCAGCTAGGTGAATAGTTCACATTTATCATCTTATTTTATTCTTACAATAATCCTAGAAAGTTTAGGTTCTTTTACCATCCTCATTTTATTGATTAAAATATGGAAGCCTAATAAGTTAAAAACTTGCTGAAGGTCACACAGCTAGTCTGATAGCATCAGTCTGACTCTAGAGCCTGCCTTGAAACACTAGACCAGGTATTCTAACCAAATTACAGGGTGGGACAAAGTAGGTTTATAGTTGCGAGTACACGAAACAGTTTATTCTTGTATTATTATTATTGCATTATTTTCCACACAAACAACTATAAATATACTTTTGCCCACCCTGTATATTTTTTCCTCTCAAAGTATTAGAAAGGCTAGGTAAAAATTATTTCTCATGATCTCAATAACTTCCAGAGATTTTAAAGATACTATGATAAGAGATTTTTATTTAAAATATTATTTTTCTTATTACAAAGTAATATTTAACCATTGTAGAACATTTGGAAAATACCAAAGAGCAGAAAATAAGAACCATAAATATAAGCACCCAGAGATGACAGAAACATTTGAGTATATTTCCATTTAATCTTATTTTTTTTTAATATATTTTTATTGATTTCAGAGAGGAAGGGAGAGAAAAACATCAATGATGAGAGAGAATCATGGGATTAAACCCAAACCTGGGCATGTGCCCTTGACTGGAATTGAACCTGGGACCCTTCAGTCCCCAGGCACGCACTCTTTCTGCTGAGCCAAACCAGCCAGGGCCCATGTAATCTTTTTTTAAATGCCTATGTGGATGGTTTTTATCCCAAAACATATCTTACTATCTTTTTTATTAACTTAATAAGGAATAAAATTTTCAATGCTATTGAAATGTTGTATTCTTCCAACATTTTTCTTAAATGAATGTGTGATGATCCATTAGAGATCCCATTTATTCAATCAGTTCCCAATGTTGAACATTTAGAATATTTACTGTTTTTCACCATTGTAAATAATGCTACAATGAATATTCATATTTGCACCTTCCAGATTATTTCTTAGGCTATGGAATTGGTACATCAAAGGGTACACATTTGTTTAAGGCTTTTTATACTTATTGCCAATTGCATTCTAGAAAGATTGCACCAATTTTTACTCCTATTACCGATATGGGAGAGTGCCCACTTAGTTTCCTTAATTCTAAGCTAAAAATAAAGTCTTGTTACCAAAGAGTAACTGAATATTCCATTTGGGTTATGTCCAGGCATTGGGCAATATTGAACTTGGGAGCAGGTTCCATTTACTAAAATTGGGTCGCCCAAGCCTATGTCATTTTAGAATTAATGTTTTCTTTATCCATTTAAACAGAAGTAATTAGGAAGACAATAGTGACAAAGGACAGGGAATTAAAGCTAGGCAGTGGTAAGAGAAAGGAAGAACTGAAGTGGCCGAAGAGGAAGTAGAAAGACCCAGAAAATAGTTTCAATGCCTTTCTTCTGAATCACCTGTAGCGTTCTGGTAGTGACTAACAGCTCTCAACTCAGCAAGCTGCCTTCAAACCAAAAATCTAATCAGAACACAAATCTCTGTCAGACATGTGTGGGGAAATCCTGATTTTTCCACAATAGTAAAATTAACATAGTTTGTAAGTTTTCCTCTCCTTTTAAAAGGAAACTTCCTTCAGAAGATAGAAGTCAGACAAAGAGGGTTGGCCCCGGTGAGAGCTGGAAATGTACTAGCAAGAAAGAGCATGGGAGTAAGCTCCAAACTATTTATTCTATTTCCTCAGACAAAAATTCCAACTATTTAACCTATTTCCTCAGACAAGTGTTTGTGTGGCCATAAAGCAGTTGATGATCATAGACCCACGGCTCCAATGGGGACCCTAAGGGCTCAGAAATGAGTATAAGAGGTTTGGCCCTGCCGAAGCTGGTTTGGCTCAGTGGTAGAGAGGCGGACTGAAACCAGGTTCGATTCCGGTCGAGGGCATGTACCTTGGTTGCGGGCACATCCCCGGTAGCAGGTGTGCAAGAGGCAGCTGGTCGATGTTTCTCTCTCATCGACGTTTCTGGCTCTCTATCTCTCTCCCTTTCTCTCTGTTAAAAATCCATAAAATATATTTTTTTTAAAAAGAGGTCTGGCCCTGCAGTGAGTTCGGGGTAGCTGAGAAACGCACCAAATTCAAAGCTCCCTGTGCTGTGGGCCTTAAAGGTTAAACATCTCACACTTTTGTTAATTAAACACAAGGACAGGGAAGCAGGGAGGGAGGTCACCTGTCAGGAGGGGGCTCTGAGGAGCCCTAACTAGTGAGCCCTGGTTGTGGCAGTTCCTGTGACTCTAAGAATGAGAACCCCAGACTGGCCAAGACCCCTAAAATGGCAGTGACGCAGAAGCAAGGTCTCTGAATCCAGGAATACCCCATTACTCCCTTACCCTCTGCTGGAATTAGCCAGTCTCCCTTAACCTCTGCTGGAATTAGCCTGTTAGACAAGCTCAGAATAGCGCTCAACCCAGCTTCCTCCCTGGCATGTAATGACTGGCTGCCTACGTCTGTATTTTGGGTTTGGTTATGTCAGTTGTTCCACTCCTCCTTCCAGAACCATCTCTTTGGGAAAGGTGTGGTATCTTTGGTAAATGCTTTGGGGCTGGCTCAGGGAGGGGAGGGAAGATCATCCTGGAATGTTCAAGAGGCCACAGAGCAAATGATGAAAGAGGGAAGATAGAGGCCGGGTGTCTTACACACGGGTGATCTGTTTTTCCTTTCACAGGAGCTGCCCATCAGTTTTCCAGAGGAAAAAGAAAATGGGTAACTGGGGGAGGAGAGGCACTGGGTGGGGCCAGGGTGGGGGGAGCTGGTAGCAAATTAGAGAAGACCACAGAAGTGGTGTCTTAGGGAGGAGCATAAGGGTGGGAAAGGGTAGTGTTGGAAGGGATAAAGGGAGACCGTGCATTACAGGGAATCTTTAGGTTACTGGGTTCAAGACCAGCTCTGAAACTCTGGGTTTTATCCTTCTATTATTGCAGTTGGCAAGGTTGTTTGTTCATGCTTTCATTCATCCACCAAAATTTACTGAGCACTTACATTGTATGTGAGGCACTGAATAAACCCAAGGAGACAGAAAGGCACGAGTGGAAGGACACACTGTGTTGGCCCTAAGAGGGGGAAATCAAGCTTGAGAGAGAGATATATAAACAAGTAACTCTAATGTCATCTCCCAGTGCTAGAAGAGATGCATACTCCTGCCGTGGGAGGATGGGAGGAAACACCAATGTGGAAGAAATAATATCAAGTTCACAAGGTGGAAGAGGTGCAGGGAGGAAAGGCTGTTTTAGGCAAGGGAATTATGCAGAAAAAAGAAAGAAGAGAGAAGAGGCTGATCTGATTGTATTAGGTGACCAGTTGTTGGGTAGCTAAGCACTCATTGTAATAGTATTCACACTTATTTGTCTCCCCTGGTAGACTGTAAGCTCCCTGAGGCAGAGGAAGCAGCCTATGCATACTTCTGGTCCCACAGTGTGGCAGAGAGCCTGGGACCTAATGGGCTCTCCACATGTACTTGTTGAACTATTCGGGACCAGTGGAAAATGAGGATGGAAGATATTAGGGGTAGATTGTAAAAGGGCCAGATTGCATTCCCTATTGGATGTGGGAATGATGGAAGTGAAGAAGGTGAGAACAGATGTAGGGAGATTAGGTAGAAGCTCACCATAATAGTTTAATAGAGATTTGAAGATAGCAACCTTCATAGAGACAGGGAAAAGTGAATGGATTTAAATTGTATTTCCTCCTCTCAGGGGGTCAGCCAAGGTGGACACTGAAGCAGCAGCGGAAGAAGCAGAGTGGCACAAAGGTAATGGCAGGCCTCTGTCCCCCTCTTTTTAAAAAAATATTTTTTTTTTATTGATTTTTTACAGAGAGGAAGGGAGAGGGATAGAGAGAAACATCGATGAAAGAGAATTATCGATCAGCTGCCTCCTGCACCACCCTGACTGGGAATGTGCACACAACCAAGGCACATGCCCTTGACGGGAATTGAACCCGGGAACTTTCAGTCCGCAGGCAGTCGCTCTATCCACTGAGCCAAACCGGTCTCGGCGTCTCTGTCCCTTCTTGTGGGTGGCTCAGACGAGGGATGCCAGGCCTCGGTCTTTTCCCCTGGCACAGACACATCTTGGTCAATCATAGAACTTGCTTGTTCTGCCCTTCCTCCTTGGTACCCCCCATAATGGAGCAAAATAGAGGGACATCATGGAAGGTGGGGGACCAAACCGAGCCAAGAATCTCTCTTAAATGTTGTCCATTCCTTGCAGGGCCGTGTCACAACAGGACAGTCGCGTAAGCAGGGGTTGGAGCAGCCTGCGTCTCCGCAGGGGAGGCAAAGCCCCAGGTCAGAGGACAGTGGCTTACATTATGCAGTCATCCAAGTGTCCAGCCATCCCCAGCCACGCTCTGCCCGGGAGGTGAAGCACCTGCAGTCAGAAAACGCTACAGAGTATGCCACCCTCTGCTTCCCCCAGGCCACGCCCTGCTATGACCGCAAGAACGGGACCCTCGTGTGAGCCTTGGGGAAGAAGGACCCGTTTCCATCATTTCACCACGACTCCCGTGGGATAATGGACTGTTTTTGGAGAACTCGGTGGCAGCCCGGGATGGTGCCACATTTTAAGTTTAAAGAATGCAGGGGCCCCTGGAATTGTGTCACCACCAATCTTGCTCTCTCCCCATGTGCCTGTCTCTTTATTGGCTGCTGTGAGCTTGAAGCTGTATTCGGGTTAGACAGGGGTGAATGCAGCTGCACTTAAAACGAGGGTGCAGGTTGAGTGTGTGGGGAGGTAGTTTTGATCCCTACCTTTGCTCCTACTTCAAAAAAAAAAAAAAGTGCTGGGGGAAAAAGCAGGTCACTCGTTAAGTACTTGAGCTGGTCTTGTTGCACTTAATCCTTTTACATACCTGGATCTCCAAAGCTGAAGAAGAGATGTTTGGCTTTAGCACACAGCCCCTGACCGGGCTTGGGCCATTTCCTCAGTGGCTGGTCCACGTCCTGGCCTGGACAGACAGACACCTGCGGCCTGGAAGAAGCATTTCCCAAGCATCCGTTACCAGGACTTCCAGTCACCGATCCTGACAGCCCTGCATGGCCGGACCGATGGTTCTCGAAGGTGCTGAGCCGCTAGGAACAATAAATCTCTCACGGAACACGCCTGGTGCGCTTTCTGGGGCGAGCATGTGCGGGCCCCACGTCGGCAGGGAGAGAGGTCGGCCCGGGCGGAGCGAGGGAGTGGCGTCCGGCCGGTAGGGGGCGCCTCTGTACAGACAGGGACCCCGGGCCTGGACGTCAGAGAGCGAGGCACAGGCTCGCAGGAGGAGGGACCGGCTCTGCCAGCGAGGGGCGGGGCAGGACACGTAGGGGGTGGGGTCCAGGCCGGCGAGGGCTGCGATCGCTGGGCCGTTAGAGGGCGGGGCGGGACAGGCAGGGGGCGTGGTCGGGGGGGTGGTCTGGGCTGGCAGGGGGCGTGGTCGGGGCGGACTGGCGGGGGGCGGGGACTGGGCCGGCTGCTGGCTGACGGGTCTGACGGAGGCTGGCCGCGGCGGGCCTCCGCGTTACCATGGCAGCGAGGACGCTGAAGGAGTCTCTGCTCCGAAGAGCTGGAGAACGAGATGGTGAACCTGAGCGACCGACAGAGGATTGAAGAGGTAAATGCTGAAAGGCGGAGGGTCACTGGGAGGTTCTACCGCCGAGCGGCCAGATCAGAACTGGGGGCACGCGGAGGGGCGAGGGAGCGGGGAGAAGGGGGAGGCAGAAGTTTCGAACCCGCTCTGAGCTCGCAGGTTCTTAGGGTGCCACTCCTGACTCAGGCTTCTAGAACGTGGAGACAAGCCGTGATGCGCGTTCCCTTTCTCAACCTGGGCACGGTCGCTTCTAAATAACGGCTGCCCCCCTCCTTGTATCTAGAGGGATGGCTGCTTAAGATGGATAATAGAGTACTGAAAATGGAATCACAGCACTAAAAAAGTTGGTAATAATAGTATCAGCTTCCTAGAGTGTGAGCATGTGAGGCATTTGGAAGGTTAGGTAGTGTGTAGTCAAAGGTTGGCCCCATTCGGTGGCATCACGATTGCTGTTTTCCCGGCTTGTTCCCTGGCACAGACCGAGTGCAAATGGATTCAGAAGAGGTGGCTGGAAAAGGGCCTCCACCACTGATGGGCAGGGCCTATGTCCTATTCGCCGGGGGCAGTAAAATGAACTCTATTTCCAAGAGTTATCTGCTGTGACAGCCAATTAAGATGATGTAGATGATAGCACTTTGTAACTGTGAAGTTCTATAAAAACTTCGGCCGTAGAATATAAATGCTGCCTTCCTAGCTTAACACTGAATTTCTGAGAAGAAGGGAAGTGCACGTCAGAAGCAGAGCTCGCAGTATCTCTCCTGGTTGTCTTCGGAATCTTTGCTATGGTCTTAGACTGATATACGTGGGGAGAAGGGGAAATGCATCCTTGTTTCACTAATGATAGGGAAGCATTACTCTTTAGTTTACTACCATCCAAACCTAAGTGACTGGTTTTTTTAAAATGCCGTTAGGATAGACCCGTTGTGATAAGACCTTGGGCTGGAGTTCCCGTTAACCAGCATCTATTTCTGATGTTTCTAGATGACTTGCTTTGGTAGGTTTGAGGCAGGGGCCTGACCCCACTAGGTTGGCTTAGCTTTTGGAATTTTTTTTTTTTTCCTGTCCTGTATTTTTACACATTTCTTCCTCCTCCTATTTCAAGGTGGCCCTGAGCTGGCTCTAGGGACTGTGAAGATGGGGACCCATGTGGTGATGAGACTCTGCAGCTCCCTGCTGCCGGCAGAGCCCTCTGTAAGTTTCTGGTGTGCTGTGTAGAGGAGTATGCCAACAGTACTGGATTTTCAGTACAGTTCTACAACCCGGGGATTTCTCCGTAAGGACTCAGATCCTGGAACTAAATTACAATAAATTTGCTTTCTTTTCTTGCTTCCCTCCTTATGGAAATTCTACCTATCTTTATCTGAAATTAATAAAACCAGACAGAGGTTGAAACATTCTACAGATTAATCGGAACATATGCATTGTTTAAGATTTAAATAATGTTTTTGCAAAAACAAGTATGTTAATTATACAGCATTTGAAAAATATTGCAAACTATGATTTTAAAAACATAATCCTTCCTTCCACTGTTAACATTTTAGAATGTTTTTTTGTAGTCTTTTTTTCCGTGTGTATTATTTACATATTTGAGGTCATAATACATTTTTTTTTTACTTTTGCTTTTTTAACTTAATGTTTGTTGATACGAAGTTATTAAAATGTTTGTTTTAATGTGGGTACAAATGTTTGGTAAACATTATAATGTCTGTAATTTTCTTTACCTTTCCACTATTGTTGAACTCTTATGTTTCACTCTCCCCATTGTAAAAAATAATTGATTTCCTCATTTAAGACTTTTTTTTCCTCAGGGCTAAGTCCCAGAAGTGGAATCCCTAGGTCAAAGGATGTGAACATTTTAAGTAATAAGTCACTTTTTAACAGAAGAATTGTGGTGTCAGATTTTGTATGCATTCCGAAGGAGACAGAAGGACATTAGTTGGGAAATAGAAAGGTCCTTATGGCTTCCTCTTGCAATGAGACTTTGAGTCCTGCAAAAAGACTATTTCATGAGAGTGTGATTAGTGATGTGGAGTCCTAATGCAGCAGTCCAGAGACATGGGGGAGAAATTCAAGGATCTCTTCCAAAATATCCACCAGATGTCGCTCATCTTAGTTTAGTTCTTACCTGCAGGATAGCTGGCAGAAAACTTTGAAATGTAAATTTTAAAAATTCATGTTGAATCTATTTGCATATCTGCTTTGGTACAGTTTATATTAAGCACTAGCATCTGGTGATTACTTTGGCAACACCCTACTCTAGTCTCTCACCATTCTGTCTCTTTCCCTTTTTTTACCCACTCGGTCTGTCACACTGTACACTCTGTCCCCACTAATTAATATTGGAGTCTCGGTTTTACTAGTCTTTGTTTTACAACTCTTTTCTTTTTTAGTCTTGTTTCTTGCATGTGTGTGTATGTATTTATGTGTATCTCAGTTCTTAGTTTTTGCTTAAAAAAATAAAAATATAAAAGAATAGGACCTGGCATATAATATCATATAATAGATGCTCAACATATAATTAATGAATAATTAATGAAAGAATACATTGATGAAGCTGTTGCAGAAGATCAAGAAGACCAAGGACGCTTCTGAGGAAGTCGGAGGGAACAGCCTTCCAAATCTGAGTGAAGGAACACGCATGGGGGGCCCTCTCTCATGTCCCCTTCCTGTGATCTTTATCCCATAAGCATGGATTATGCTTCCGGTCCTTTTCTCCGGATTTGCAAGAAGGCCCCAGGTGTTGGGGGTCTCCAGGCCATACCTGATGGCCTGGCCTGGCGCCAGCATTAATAACCATCTGGGCAGTGCACTGTCCACAGTTCAATGGCCTTTGTAACCGGTTCTGTAAGACCAGTACCTGGGAAGGAGATAGGGACTTAATTTTTATAGGTTATCAGGAATGTATACTGAGCTTGCTGGCTTGGATTCAGATCACTAGCCTCCAAATATGAGGGTTACATTGGAATTACCCTTGTTAGCCTCCTCAAAGAGAGAAAAATATAAAAGGATACCAGAATTATTATTGTTGTTAAAATGTTTTTATTGATTTGCTTTTATTTTTTTAAATAAATATTTTTTATTTTTTAGAGAGGGAGGAAGGGAAAAGGATAAAGATATAAAAACATTGATGAGAGAGAAACATTGATTGGCTACCTCCTACACCCTCTCCCTCCCCTACTGGGGATGGAACCTGCTATCGAGTCATGTGCCCTGACCAGGAATTGAACCAGTGACCTTTTGGTGCATGAGATGATGCTCAATCAACTGAGCTACACTGGCCAGGGCCAGCAATTACTTATATTTGTCTTGGAAATACAGTAAGAGACAAAGATTCACATTCTGAAATTAACTATATAATGTTCCATGTGATATCATACATTCTATGACCTTTGAATTTTGAAGAGAGGAAGGATACATTCATTTATTCAGTCAATATCTATTGAGCATCTACTATGTGTCAGGAAATATTCTTAGTTTTCAAGATTAACCAGTAACAAAACAGACAAAATTCCCTGTCCTCATGGGGAATTTTACATTCTGGGTAGGAGGATGCTGACAATAAACAAACAAGTAAATATAGAATATGCAAGATGGGATGAATGCTAGGAAGAAAAAAAGATAAATCAGGTTTGGGAGTGCTGGTTTAAGGGGATGCTATAATTTTATTTTTAAATATATTTTATTTTGTTTTTTACAGAGAGGAAAGGAGAGGGATAGAAAGCTAGAAACATCGACCAGCTGCTTCCTGCACATCCCCCACTGGGAATGTGCCCGCAAACAATGTACATGCCCTTGACCAGAATCAAACCTCGGACCTTTCAGTCTGCAGACTGATGTTCTATTCACTGAACCAAACCAGTTTCAGCCTATCATTTTAAATAGAGTGATC